GTTACAATTTTATTATATGTATAGATAACGGTTTTTATAGAGATCAATTCAGATTGAAGTCAGTTTAGCCGGTGCCCACAAAGCTTCGCAATGTTTTGACAAGTTTTAACATATTGAGGTTGTTCACGCTTGCCTGGTTATCAGGTTATGTAGTTATATTTTTTATTCTGTTGACAACAGTAAAATACACTAAACAACAATAACACTGGTTTACAGCAGAAATTTTCTATAGGTGCCACTATCAAATTCCCATGTAGAATTCCTCGGTGATTCCGAAAATTAAGATAATTTTTTTCTATGGATAGCTTTTCGAAATATTTGCAATTTACCTTTATTCAGATTTAAAAAATAGGGGTTTCACTTAATCACGTATATCTTATGAACCAATCGAATAATCATATTACGAGATACGGGAAATGATAGAAAATATAATTCTCCATAAACCGTATATGCATCACTTTTTAATAGCCCTGATAGTTTCTAAGAAATTAATTAATAATATCTGACGCCTCTTGTTTTCGATGCAAACACTCTACCTTCAGGTGTACGTGGCGTATGAGTAACAATCTTTTCTGCTCATATTTCATACAAANTCTATGGATAGCTTTTCGAAATATTTGCAATTTACCTTTATTCAGATTTAAAAAATAAAGGTTTCACTGAATCACGTATATCTTATGAACCAATCGAATAATCATATTACGATATACGGGAAATGATAGAAAATATAATTCTCCATAAACCGTATATGCATCACTTTTTAATAGCCCTGATAGTTTCTAAGAAATTAATTATTAATTTCTGACGCCTCTTGTTTTCGATGCAAACACTCTACCTTCAGCTGTACGTGGCGTATGAGTAACAATCTTTTCTGCTCATATTTCATACAAAAAATCCTTGCGCATTTTTATTTGACCAATCATTATTTTCTTATTTATCTATCGATTTTCTTCAATGGTAGCTAAGTGTTTTTTCTAAAGGAACAGGCTTTAAACAACTGCAGAGTATTTGCACAGAACTGGTATTTTTTGACTTTTTTCCCTGTAAAAGTTTGAATTTTTTGCATTTTCCCATCAAAAAAAAAAAACAAAAAATCTGGAATAATTAATTATTTTCTGAAAAACTGTCAGGACTATCGAAAAGTATATACACCGGGAATTTTATTTTCTTNCACAAGTGCAGAGTATTTGCACAGAAACTGTTATTTTTTGACTTTTTTCCCTGTTAAAGTTTGAATTTTTTGCATTTTCCCATCAAAAAAAAAAACAAAAAATCTGGAATAATTAATTATTTTCTGAAAAACTGTCAGGACTATCGAAAAGTATATACACCGGGAATTTTATTTTCTTTCATTTACTGAACCTCATATTACGATTATTTAATTGGTTTATAAGATATATATAAAAATCGAAAACGTATACATACAAAAAAAAAAAAATAAACTCGATTTTCGAAATCACCGAGCGATTCTACATACAANTTTCATTTACTGATCCTCATATTACGATTATTTAATTGGTTTATAAGATATATATATATATATATATAAGTCGAATAACGGTAAATCGAAAACGTATACATACAAAAAAAAATAAACTCGATTTTCGAAATCACCGAGCGATTCTACATACAAATTGGATAGTGGGGTCTGGAGAACAAAATCAAAATAAAAAATTTAATGTAAGTGCCATTTTTAACCAGATAACCTGATAACCGGGCAAGTGTGAATAACCTCATTATTTTTGTTATTATTTAATTTCGGTTATTTTTTAATAAAAATATAGTTCATTCTCTAACAAAACCCGTGTAAATCCAAGTTTCAAACTTTGTGCAATATTAAAAAAAAAAAATCAATCAACTTTCCAAATATGCCCAGCTTTTTTAATTAGATTTCCGAGAGAGATTCTGAGTATGCAGTTTTATAGACTATTAAATTCTAGTAAATAAAGTGCAAGTTTCGAAAAGCTATAAATTACCGTTGATTTTTTAGAAGGAGGATGTTAAGGTTTTCTTCCATATAAAAATAAATTGCGAGTATTCGTTATATGGAAGCAAATGGAATAAAAAGAAAAAACGCAAAGCCATTTGAAATTTGCACTGCGCTCTACTAGAATTCAAAGGGCTACAAAACTGCATACTTAGAATCTTCTTAGGAAACCTAATAAAAAAAGTTAGAAAGTTTGTTATATTTTTTTAATTATTGCACAAAGTTTGAAACTTGGAGTTTTACGGGATTTGTTAAAGAATGAACTATATTCTTATAAAAAAATCACCACAATTAAATAACAAAAAAAAAATAATAATATGTTAACAGTTGTCAAAATGTGTTGCGGCTATAATTGTTTCGAACACTGTATCTTAGATATTTTTAGACCTTACATATGAAGTGGGTGGTGGGTCGCAAAGCCAGCACAAACTGGGAGGCTATACAGCAGGTACATATATACATACATACTCGTACATTCCCAACAAAATTAAAACCAAAGTAAAAAGAAACCAGCTACTTATAAACTCTAAGCCCATTAAACGGCTAAAATGCCAGCTGTGCAAAGTTATTGACGCTTTTTTAAATTGTAATTCGCAATGAAAACTACAGTTGCGCAATTGTCAACATTGTATAAATACCAAGCAGGCTGTTCTTATACTAGCTTTTCCTGCATTAGAGCCTATAAGATATCAGCTTAAAAGATTCTGAATACATACAGGCTTTTTCCATTGAATTATCGTTTGTGCCACAATTCTATCAAACCATTATTATAAGAATGAATACGATCAACACCAACAACTTCTGTCGAACTGTTTTCGTGTTGTTGAATTGACCGTAAAAAGAAACTTGTCGCTGCAAAAATAGCAGCTACGGTCATAAGAACAACAAAAGCAACATTTTATGAGCCAAAAGCAGCAAAGTGGTGACATAAATTATTGAATGCATGTGGTTGTAGTAAATTCCCAGTGAACAATAGTGTTATATTTAATTTTTGAAAAAATATCGGTTGTAAAAGTAGAGCAGGCATTACACATTTATACGGATTTGCACATTTTAAAAGTTACAGAGTGGGTTTTTTTATTGAGCTGAACTCATTCTCGATTCAATTTTGTAGATCACACCAATCTGTGACTGCCAAAATGTACAAACATGTAGGTACAAATGCACAAATCGTGTGATCCCTGCTTCCGTCAATAGAGGTCACCATCACCACAATCTACATCAAAGCGAAATTCTTCAACATCCCATGTATTTTCGCCTACGCCCCGACGAAAGAAGGGCGCGACGACCAAAGACCTATGAACGCATGCGCTACGACTGGAATTAAAGTGTGCTCTGCCCAATATGCAAGAAAGGAGACCAAGCCGTATGCGACAACAATCCGCGGTCAGCTCTCCAGCATCGACTATAAGGTCTTATAGAGCCCATTGTGAGAAAAATTGAAGCCCACTGTCAATGTATTGATAGGCCTTATTAGTGCGGTTTTAGACCTGGTAAATCCCTCTTAGACCAGGTATTCACCGCATGCCGAATATCCGAAGGCTCGCAAAAGAAGATCGACACGCACCATCTATTGGTCGATTTCAAAGCCGCTTTCAACAGCTGTTGCCTTTATGCCGCAATGTCTGACTTTGGTATCCCCACGAAAATAATAAGGCTGTGTACAATTACGTTGAGCAATAGCACCAGCTTCGTTTTATACCAAACGAGGTTTCAGTTAGGGTGGCTCTCTTTCATATAATTTCTTTAACCTGATGTAGGAGAAGATGATAATAGCTGCGGAACAGAGAGAAAGCTTCTGCGGAATATTCACGAGCCTTTGCACGCTGGCGATGGTGAATACCTTAGCTTTACAATGATCGGTCGGGCGCCACGTAAGCTAAAATGACCGATAAAGGGAGCTGAAGAGGGAAGCAAGACGTATTCTTCATAATGGAAAGACCAGGTGGAACGGATTTGGCTTTTCTTGGCAACTCCAATTGGCTTTGGTGGACACAGAAAAGCAATGACTTACCCGCTTTATTGGACTTTTAAACTGTTCATTTATGTCTACACTTAACCAAATCGCAATTCTCGTCTAAATGCTCACTGGGTTCAAATCACACAGAACAGAAAATTAAATATTAAAAATTTAAGCAATAACAACAACGCCCACAAGCAGTACAACTACTAACAAAACTAACAATCTCTGCCTTAACTTGGCAGCATCAACAAGTGTCAGCTGCTGCAACTAACCGACCAAGTCATTACCTTCAATCGATTCTCAATGCGCGGCAACATTTCAGTTGAGATCTTAATTCTAGCGTAGACGGTCGGGTTTGTTGTGATTTAAGCCAAGATGCTCAATGGAAAATTTTACATGGGTCTGCCACCCGGTATGATTGAACGGGGCAGTACACAACGTAATCGCCTGCAATCGAGTATTTTCTGGCCCGATGACACCAAAGTCGATTCAGCGTTGGAAACGCGCGTCAAGCGACGTAATAGCTTACAAATTGCACAGAACGAACGGCCACAGCTGCGTATGCAATCATCGGTGAGCGGCAACAGCGGTGACAGTACAAGGCAGTTATTTCAGAAGGAATTCTCTAAATCGTCTATCGAATTTTTGGATAATTTATGCGATGAAAGTAAGACTAGGAAGCCATTGCTCTTGAGGGGCAACAGGAGCGCTGGTAGCGAGGTGACACCCAAACCTACAGCAATGAAGTTGCCACTGCCCGAGAATGTGGTGAATGCGGGATACACCACCGCCAAGAAGAAGCAGGCTTTCACATCGAAAATCGAGTTCTATGATTATATGGGCGATGAGTTAAATAATCGGAACAATTTCCGACGCACAAAAATGGATATGAATGATAAGAAGGAGATGGAACGAAATACGAAAAACAGTCCAAAATTGCAAGTGAAAAACAATATGCGTAGTCTGGGTACAAATGAAAAATTGTATCCTGCAGAAAGACGCGAAAAAGTTGAGGTAGCGGGATTGGAGGAGAGTGCAAGGCATGCAGATGATGTCGAGGTAGTGCCCAAAAATAATATTCGTGACGAATTGCAAAATAGAGGAGATGACCGATATGCGGGCGAACGGGCTTTCGATGATGAGTTCGAAGATGCTCGTGGAGATTTGAGTGGCTATCAGAAAAATATGCGGGAACATAGTAATCGCCTCAAAGACGAAAACATACGTGATATCGACTACTTGGAAAACAGAAGAACTGTAAGCCCAGAGTATGGCTATAGACGCGAGCGTCGATTTCGTGAGACATACGAAGATGACTACGATGTACCTGATTACGCACCTGTTCCAAGGTATGGTGCTGCTGTTCGACGCTCTAATAGTGTAGGCCGTTTTACAGGTACACCTAAGCGTATATTAAGGAATCCCATAAGGGAGCGACGCTATTGCGATAATTATGGCAGTGACGCTTATAGAGGCAATGAAGCCAATCTAGGCAATAGACGTTACATGAATAGGGATAACGAGGTGGCCGACAGCAGAGACTACAATGATTGCGACGCCGATTTAGATTACATGGAAGGCCGCATGAGGAATATGCGCATACGCACATCACCCAAGAAGCATGTCACCTACAGCGATGACACCTACTCGCACGACGAAGAAACTCCAAGTCCATCGCTGCGACGACCTTTGGCGTCAACTCCACAGTCGCGCGCTCGTCCAAATATGCGCACCGGAAGCGATCAGCAACGCCAACTACCACTACAGCCACAGCAACAACAACAACACGATTTACGACGTTACAATAGTGAAATAGATTTCGCGGAGGATGCTAATGAGGCGTCGGAGCAAAAAATTATGGAAAATGACATACGCGGTAGTGCAACAACAATAAAGCCATTAAATACAGGTAGTAGCTACAATAACAAGTGCAATAATAGCCGAGATGTTGGAAATGAAGAGCGCAACAGTTTTGTCAATAAAATAAATAACAACAAAAACAATAATTTTAATAACACAACAAGTCGACTTAACAATCAAACAATCGCGTCAGCTGCACGGAAAATCACACCAAAAATTCCAACAACCGCCGCTACAACAAAGCAAAACGCCGACACAGCGACCAACGAGCAAGCAGAAGCTGGTGGTGGTGTGAAAAAGCATTTGCGCAGCAGCCTCTGTCTTCACAATGGCGAGATCGTAGCGAGTGATGACGGTGGAGCGACGTCCGCAAAAGCACCCACGCGCAATGCGCGCACCATAGCTACACGCCAGCGCATTAGTGTGGGACTGCCAGATTAATGATTTGAACAGGCTGCAGCGCTGACGTTGAGTGACGGCTGAGCTGCGGCTGCGCAGTTGTAGCGTAGAGTTTACGATCGTGCTGGCTTGAGAGCTGAGTGTTGCGGGCATTTTTAATGGTCTAATAAGAAGTTGGATTACCCTAAGGCGCGCGCCCGCTATTACATCGATCACTTATAGTATGAGACATGCAGTCGTTAAATTTTGTTATAACTTAACATGCATCGAATTTAAGTGAAAAATTAACAAAGTGATTTTGAGTATTACACATGCTAATTTTTTTTTATTCAAGTGTTTAAATGTGTACTTTTATGTACATATGTGTATGCATGTTTATTTTAGTATACATGAACATTAGGGTGGTCCAAAAAAAAGTAGATAAAGTGTAATTTTAATGCACCCACACCGTAGGATTCTTATAAGTATACCGAAAAAATATATGTATACGTAAGTATTTTGAAATAAAATGTTTTCCGTGTATTTTATATGAAAAAAAAAATTCGTAGAAATGTTATAGGATTCTTGGAATTCAATATTTTTCGATCAGAAATCTCTGTTTTTCTTCAAGAGACTTCCAATAACAATACCCAATTGTTTATTTAACCATTTTTTAATACTAACTATTTTTATAGGTCACCCATAAAACCCAAATAAATGCAATGGGAGACCCCTAAAATACATTAAAAATTGGAGAAATAAACAATTCTCCGGAAGAGAAACTGAGTTTTCCTATCGAAAAATGTTGATTTTATAGAATTCTTTATAATTTTTAAGAAAAAATGTCTTCCCTATACAATATACATAGAAAACCTTGAGCGCTTTGAGCGAGCTCTAAATATTTTTTTCATTTTGAAATAAAAAACAGTGGTTAATTTTTTCGATATAGAAAAATACTAGTGGGTGAGAGTATTAAAATTCGGACTTTGGTTTTTCATATGTATTTTTAGACTACCCTAATGTACATACATGCCAGTAGATACTTTTTTGTCTGTTCACAAATTTATACAAGTTTATCGCTGTGGGTTCTAAAGTATTTTTGAAGCATTTTTATGGAGGTGTGCGCTTTTTTAAACTTGAAATGTGTACATACTGCAGAACATATACATATGCACAAACTTATGTAAATATGTTTGCAAGTAATCCGACCTACACACCTTGAAGAACACTTGTTTGTCAACAAATACATCATACATATTTTATAATGTTTTAAATTTTGTATGGAATTGTATCAATACGAAATAATGTGGCCAGAAGCAAGAACTGAATAAATACATACTGCTTATATAATTACTCAATAAATAACACTATGTGACAGTAAAGATGTACTTTTCGTGACAAAGAAATATATGTGCAATATTTCAACAGTTAGTTGCTGTATATGAAGAAACTAGGTACGACATCTTATTTAGTTGCTTTTTTTATACTGAAGTGCCAAATTTAGTTGAAATGTACTGGAATATAATTTTGATCCCAAAATTTTTACATATTTTAAAACAAAAAGCGATTTTTTTTGTAGTACCGCAGCGAAATAATTTATTAACTTACTTTGGCAACTATCCAAATCATAAATTATATCTTTTAGCATTCTTAATAATCGGTTTGATACCGTATTACTCGGACTAAATCTAGTAAAATTGTAAAAAAAAATAAAAACTCGCTCAAAGCGAGAGAGTAACACTGAAAAGTACTTGATCGCTTTTTAATAAAAAATGGTATCTCTGACAACTTCAACATAAGCTATAAATTTTGTTTCTTTTGTAAGTAGACACACTTAGCTCACACATGTAACTAACCAAAAATTCTCTGAACTTTTCTTTTGTTTACAATTTGGTTACCAAACGCACTACAGCTGTTCCTTTGACATATTTACCATAATTTACCACAAAAAATCTTCGGACTAAAAGCCTGATAATGGCAACTTAACTTAACTTAACGGAACGTAGAACTTAGACCTTAATAAAATTTGTAAGAAGTTTGAAATGCATTTGGGAATCAGTCCTTTTCTCAATTGTCAAACGTTAGTTGTAAAATGCATCTCAAACAAGCGTCGATAGCGTTCTCTAACTAAAAGGTAAATTTTTAATATTGAATTTTCCTTTATTTTCTATTTGAGAAATATTGAATTCTCAACTTTTTCTCAAACATGAGTGGAGCGGAACGAAATGGAATCCGGTTACTCCCATTGAAATATTTGTATTGTGTTGCCTATGATGCATGTAAAAGAAACACAGTTTTATAGGAAAGGAATTTTTATTAATGCAGCTTTACAGTATATTTTATAGCTTACTTATTTAGGTAGCTGAACAAAGAAAAATACGCTTGATATAAAAAATTAGTTGCATACAGTTTGTTTTGCAAAAAAATACATAAATAGAGTTTGCGAAGTATTTTGTTTTGCAAAAAATACGATAAAATTAAATTTTTAAGTATAATTAATGATTTATGCTCTACTGAACTCTTAAAAAATGCATTTAGTGGAAAACAATTTTTCCTATCAGGTTTTGGGATTTATTGCGATTTTTCAACAAAAAACATTAAAAGATTGTTTTATTTGGATTTATGGCCTTTTCAATAGATAATAAGCTCTTGTATCATACTTAATAATCCATTTATATTAAATAAATATTTTTTTTTTAACATAAAAATATTATTTCGTTTTAATCAGGCAAACTATTGGTCACTATCGATGCAGCGGAATTTTTCTCTCTTTCGTTTTTATATTTAAATGGCCAGTGAGTAGACAATGTTGGCCGATCAGTCTACAACAGATAATTCACAAAATGATTATACCAACTCTAATTTACTCGGACGAGGATCCATTTTGCGACAGACAAATTGCGAAATAACCGCGACGAGGAGCCGTTTTACGTAGATGGGACGGAACGGAATGCCAATAAAATTTTTCTTAAATGTTTCTCAAACCGTTCTTAAGTTGATGAAAAATGTTTGAGAACAATTAGGGAAAATGTTTAGTTTCAAATGGTAAACAATGCTGCAAATCAAATTGAGAAATAAGACTTTCTTAAACTTTTGAAAATTTTTGTTCCAGTGTTTGTTGGGTAGAGATGCGTACAACCACCCCGCAGCACCTGGGTTCTGTACCTGGTCCGAGCATCATTTAAATTAGAAAAGGTATTTCTTGTATTGCCAATAAAAAGCTCGCAAAGGTTGTGTGCTCCCAGCATGTTCGGGTTCGAATGCCCTCAGAGGCAACATGTAATTTTTATTTTTTGTTTTTGGTTTTTATTAATTTCGAAAAAACATCTGTGAAGTGAAGAACAAAAGCGTGTACAAACGAAAAAATGTAACAACAATGCCATTGTTAATATGTTGGAGTAGCTTTGTACTACTCTGATGTAATGTAGAGGTGGAGTATGTGGTCCTGCCCTAGGACATCGCAATGTTAATTGGACCATATTTTTTATATGAATTGTGGTTAATTTTGGAGTACTCCTTGGTCCTTAGGGAGTACTCTTTACATGCATGCATGGAGTAGTGGCACTCTTTGCAGGGTAATTGCAAGAGAAGCTCGGCTAAGCAGTTAGCAAAAGTGTAACCGCCAAATTGTTATTATTATTATTTTTATTAAGGGCTCATTTTTGTTTTCTCAGATTTCATAGATTTTTGTTTATATATGGGCCATATGCATTCCAAGGTATCGGATAACACGAAAATGTATACGAATCTTCATCTCTTAATTACGGAAATTTACTTATTGCAGAGACGCCTTTAAATTAATGAAATTTAGTAGTAGTTTATAATCAAGGACCTTAATTTTTTATCTTAAACTTTCTTCTCTTACCTTAAGAAAGAAAGAAAAAATCACCTTGATTTATATTATTCGCTAGTTAATATAACAAATATTTGACAAAAAATCTGTTATTAGCTTTCTTTATCAAAATGAAGTCCATGGCATTTTTTAATGTAACATAAGAGCCTAAACCACCGGAAGTACTTTTCTTTAAACATGTGTTTTAAGTGCAAAACTATTTGTAACAACAGTCTTTTTACTATTTGAATGTTTGGAATCTCTCTCTGAAGATCAGAATACCTACAAACGAAATGCAACGCGAAATGCCGAGCCGTGCGTTCAATACTTATTGACAGATCTCGATCCATATATAAAGGAACGGAAAAAAGGAGGTTTGAACAGCAGTTTATGCGGCGTATTTGAGCTCTTTAGCGCTTCCGTATATGCACCTTAATCGATTTCTTAAATATTTTTTTTTTGTTCTGAAGCTAAGCGTGTGTTGCAACAATATTTGTGTTGGTTTTTGTTTCACAAATTTTTGTTATATTCGTCTTTATACACGTACGTATGCACCTTAAAATGCCTATTTCAAGGCCGCTTTCTACGGCACGGAAATATTTTTTTATTTCGCAAAACTAATAAAGCCGTATATAGAGAGCAACATCTTCAGTTCCGCAAGAACTTTCTAAGCCTTTGAAACTAAATAATATTTGGTGTGATTTTTAAAATCTGATTATGGATAAGATAATAAGAGCTGCAGAACCATTTAAATTACTCCGTAACATTTTTTTTTAATGAGCGAACAATTCCTGGCGTATTGCCTTTTCTCTTTTTTCTTCATTTTCCCTGGATATGGAAAGCAAAGCGAATACGTCAGATTTAAACGCGGAAAAGACAAAGTACGAGTATCTACTGTCATTAGAAAGACAACCAGCGCATAGAACTGTAGACAGCTAACATTTCGAAAAAGTCGAGGCCTTCGTTTATTTAACATGAGAAAGTCTCGTATCATTTCATGCTTGGTTTCACTGGCTTGACATCCTCTGCGACGGAAAGACCTGGGACGGATTGTGCTATTCGATATCTGACGTAACTCGAAACGAAATTTGATGTTGATATCACGGCATCCGAAAATGCGATAAAGATTGTACTGGAACCAAATATAACTTGGGTGTCCAAACATAAGGTACTTTAGAGCGGTTACTTATAAGGAATGCTTAGTAAACATTTGAATTTAACGGATTTATTTGTAAATATTTAAGTTCTAAAACATTCTCACACAGGTACTAATTTAAATAGGTAATGAATCGTTAATATTGGCGTGGCAGTGCGTTTCAAATAGAGTCAATAAAAAAAATGATTTATAAAGCAGTATTCAGTTGGATGTCAAATTACTGTAGCCAACATTCAATTATGTATAAGAGTATATATACATATGTGTTTGTGTTCGGACTCCATTTTTCGCAAGTGGCATTATTACGCAATTAACAACAAATCTCACCTGTAATTCCAACTT